ACCTTCGCTTTTTATCTTTACTATGTAAAGAAAGTACTGAGCTATTCCGAGTTTCTTTTTCGTTTTGTTAATAAAAATAAGATTAATTCAACCGAAAAAGAGAAAATAAAGATTTATCCCTTTCTTTTTCATCAATATAAGAAATATTAAAACGTAGAAGGAAAAAAATAATTAGTCGCGTATTTTATGAATGAATAAATTGATTTATTAATAAATAATTAATCAAATAAATAAAATAATTATATCATGGTAAAGCAGAGAGTAATTGTCAAAATTTAAACAGTAACTCTGTTTTTCGGAAATGAAATTATAAGTAGATCGATCAACTGGTCTATTTCTTTAAAAAATTAATTTATAGAATTGTATGATTTATTTTGTCAAAATTAAGTACTATTAATATGTTTTTCTCAAATGAATCGGAGTTACCGGAGAAAGATTTTTGGTAAGCTACGATGTTCGCGTAGACAAAATCAAATAAATAAATAATAAGCAGCATATTGAAATGTATCTTTTTTTCATTCAATATTCTGTTTTTCCTTGATTATCGTCTGATAACGTTAGAAATATGTTTACGCGTCTGACCTGCATGTGTGCACAATTATTTGAAGTCTTGATGTTACAAAAATAATGTAACATAAGACAATGATCCAGATGATTTTAACAACGATTTTGGCCGTGTGCGTTCAAAATTTAAATTTATTTTTTAAAACTAATTATAAATTCCTTGACATATGTCTAAATTAATAAAAGAAATCAAAATTATAAAATATAATCAATGAAAATATTCTACCTAATTTATCACACCATGGCTGTTACTATAAAATAGAAGATTTTCATTAATTTTATCTGGCATTAGATAACATAAAAATAATATATACATGTACAGGGGAAAACATGAAGTTTTTTAACAGCTTACCTTTTCGGCGTGGAAATAAACTCAAAAAGACCTTTCTTTACAAGAAAACTGACACGTATGTGTAGCTCTCTAATTAGCACACTGTCTTCTTGTGCGGTCAACCGCCCCCTCCCCCTTCTCCCCTAACTGACACCTCGGCCCGTGTGTGTGTGATCACCGTCACCATACATGTACCTGTACTGATTTCTCGCCTGGGGTCAATAAGTAACCTCGAATACTACCTGGTTCTAATGAAACGCATCTACTTATTTTCGGGATTTTGTTCCAAACTTGTTTGAACAATTTTATAAAAGATTTAAATAAATTTAAAATACATTAAATAATTGTACGATTTATGGATTAAAAAATCATTATCTTGAATGTTAAATAAAAATTCAAATAAATCAATTTAATGAAATGAAGTCCCTAAACTCACTCCGTTGAATCTTTTTCATTTCGTACAATGTTTCCATTATGTTTACGTAAATAAGTCTTTTAATAAACATAAAAAATATACTGCACTTATGGTACGTGCACTTTCGGGTCATCGGGTTTTCTACTTAAAACGGACAAAATTAATTCTAGAAAACTATTTCATTGATCGTAGAAACGGATGAAATAGTTCTAACATTCTAAACTATGAAAATTAGCTCGCAATATTTTTTTAACGGTATCTTACTATAAAAATAAAACAAAAGGAGTCGTCTGATCCGCTGTGACCATGCAAGACTAATAAATACACCGAATCAATTTATAGTATTAATCGATTTTATTCCATACGTATGAAACTTTATTTAAGAATTCAACATTATATTTGGCTTTTTCGTTAGATCATGTTTATCTAATTTTAAATTGGTTGCGGACTTTCAAAATACCGCCCTTCGAATATGCCTAATATGACATTTCCGGATCAGTGTAAAATGATTTTTAAGGTTTAATAATTCATATGCCGAATTAAACCTATTTTTCGTTATTATTAGAAACAGTACACACAGAGTTTAATAGCAATGATTTATAATTATTCACTCGGAAAAGTCGCATTTCACTCTTTTAATATGGGTTAATTAATTTTTCTGTTTTGTATTGTAAAGATTAAAAGTATTTAACCATTCAATGTTCGTTAATGAATACGAGGTTTTAAGTATCTTTAATGTAAAATGTTTACATGTACATAAGTCAGAGCTTAGCGTAAACGTAAACGTAAATCTTTTCGTCTTGTCAAAAAACGTTCCGCATTTTGAAACAATCCTATCAGATTTTGCGTTTATCCTATCGTGTAGATCGTTTATCAGGTCTATCGTGTTTTGCGTTTATCGTGTTTTGCGTGTATCGTGTTTTGCGTTTATCGTGTTTTGCGTTTATCCTATCGTGCATGTATCCTGTCCTATCGTGCGTGTATCCTATCGTATCGTGCGTGTATCCTATCGTATCGTGCGTGTATCCTATCGTATCGTGTATCCTGTAAAGAATAACGATGCGGGTACTGTATCCAAAAAAAAACACATTTTTTTTGCATTGTTACTGCTATGTAGTAGTCTAAAAATGTTATTGCTATTTCTGTTCTAAGTTCTTCAGATAAACAGTAACAATCTTAAGTTCTTATAATTAGTTGCCTGTAAAGTTGACTTGATATTAAATAATTCATTTTTAACCACACAAATATGATCTCTAACCCCACAAATATAATAAAGATCTTTAACCCCCAAATATAGACCTTTAACCCTACAATATACCATTTGTTTGAATTCCTAATGAAACCTCTCAAGTCACCACTGTACTATCAATAACCCAACAAAGCAAAATGATAACCCCGCACCTTCCGTAAAATGCACAATGTACCTCTCAACTGTATAGCTGTGAAGGGGATTCAAGTTTCAAATAAAGGGCCAGGCCCTTTTCCAAGGGGATATAATCATGAATTTGTTAAAAATTAATGGCATTTTTAAAAAATCTTCTTCTCCAGAACAGATAGGCCAGGAAAGATGAAACTCGTGTGAAAGCATCCTCAGGTAGTGTACATTCAAGTTTGTTCAAATCATTACCCGGGGAAAGGGTGGAGCCAAAATGGCCGACCCAAGTTTTACATAGGAATATATAGGGAAAAAGCTTTAAAAACCTTCTTCTCCAGAACCACTTGGCCAAGAAAGATGAAACTCCTGTGGAATCATCCTCAGGTAGTGCAGATTCAAGTTTGTTCAAATGATGACCCCCGGGGGAAGGGTGGGACCAAAATGGCCGACCCAAGTTTTACATAGGAATATATCGGAAAAATCTTTAAAAATCTTCTTCTCCAGAACCACTGCGCAGGAAAGATGAAACTCATGTACAATCATCCTCAGGTAGTGTAGATTCAAGTTTGTTCAAACGTGACCCCCGGAACAAGGTGGGGCCAAAATGGCCGCACCCAAGTTTTACATAGGAATATATCGGAAAAATCTTAAAAAATCTTCTCCAGAACCACTGGGCCAGGAAAGATGAAACTCATGTGGAATCATCCTCAGGTAGTGTAGATTCAAGTTTGTTCAAATCATGACCCCCGGGGCAAGGGTGGGGCCAAAATGGCCGAACCAAGTTTCACATAGGAATATATAGGAAAAATCTTTTAAAATCTTCTTTTCACAACCACTGGGCCAGGAAAGGTGAAACTCATGTGGAATAATCCTCAGGTAGTGTAAATTCAAGTTTGTTCAAATGATGACTCCCGGGGGAAGGGTGGGGCCAAAATGGCCGACCCAAGTTTACATAGGGATATATAGGGAAACCTTTAAAAATTTTCAAGTACTTCAAAGCTATGATTAGTGATATTTATATGGAATCATCCTCAGGTAGTGTAGATTCTAGTTTGTTCAAAAGATGGACGCCTGGAGGGGGGTAAATTTAAGTCTGATGTTCTCAGGTGAGTGCTTGTGGCCCCTGGGCCTCTTGTTAAAGGTATCCTGGATATAAGTAATAAAAACTGAAATAAATGTAAGCCTAGATATTATCAAAAACTATATTTATGAAAGGTAACTATGTAAAGGCTGGTGTCTGTGCACTCTGTGATCTATTTTGGTTTACCCGAGAGATCTAAATTTCTGTCTCTGCGTGAGTTTTTATTAGCCAATGAGCTTGGCCCTTTACATTACTGATCATCTGTCTGTATATTGAGGATCAGGCAGGCAGGCCAGTCTAAAGCAAAATCGCCAAGTTCCCCTGTCTATAGCGGCCATTTTGTCCTATCACGTGAGCTGATCTGGATTCAACTGATTCCCGATATTTGTTACTAATGTAAATAATTGGTCAAGCGGTGCAGGATCGTGAATTAAAAGTTTGATAGTTATTACTGAATACCAATACTAACTGTGAACGTATGACAGTTACTATGCTGTTTATTATACAACAATCCATATACATGTATTTTAAGAAGATAAATGTACAGAAGTTAATTTTACAAATCAAGTTTAGATGAAATAATATTTGATTGATTGATTTTCTTCATTGTATGAAATATTTATTCCTTACACACGACAATTTGTCTCTGCTTTGAAGTGGGATAAAGCTTTTACCTTAAGATACAATATACAAATATTTTATTATTTTTCTGGGATTCATTGAATTCTGTTTGAATTCATCCACAAAAGTCATGCGGAATAAAAAAAATAAAAGTGATATCACTAATGTCCAATACCTAACTTCCTTGTATATTTCTTGTGAAATACATAATATAAACACAAATGAACTGGCATCCTTGTATATAAATAGTCCTTTAAAAAGATGACCTTTTATCCAAAGGTCACCTCTATATAAAGGTCACTTTTAATGTCTCCCGTAGGTGACTGCTTAATACAGGTTTGACTGTAATTATGATAAGATATTGTGCCTCTTTCATTTTATTATAGACTAGTTATTAGCTTTTTAATACAATTAATAAAACAGACAGAAAAGAAAATATGAAATCAAAAGGATATCTAAATGATAATCTGTATCATCTGACATTAAATTAATTAAGGGAATCCATTGACAAACTCAGTATTCTCATTTCTGTTGCTGTTTGTATTTTGTGGGTTGGTTCCTGTCTGAGAGATTGTTGGTATGAGTATAGAGCAGCCTGGAGGTTCCCTGTCACCTGTTGACAGATCCCAGAATCTGCCACGATATGTCTCTGTATTGTAAAGGTATAAGCCGTATATACGAGCTGTGTCTGTGACGTAAAGGTATATACTGTCCCTGATCATAGTGAACTAGGTTCTGTAGATCATCTAGAGCTGTTTGTACTCGCACTGTGTCTACATGTCTGTAACACACGATCTCTAGCATGTGTAACAGGATAAAGGGTGGTACAATCAATAAAAGAAAATGGTTCTGTAGAGCAGACTGTTGTTCAGGAATCAGTTCACTGATGTAAATGATGTCATTGTGAAGTCTGATATGTAATGCCAGAGCCTCTGCTCATCTTTGTAGACCAAGACTGTATCCCTACAGCCTCAGTATACATCTCTGTATCTACATTTGACCTATATATCACATATGGCTGTGCTAACTTGACCTTGATTATCTCTATAATAGATAAAGCTTCTGTGTATCTCAGTGTCTTGTAATAATACATGGCTATGTACAGCATGTATGTAATACAACCAAACTTGGCTGCTAATTTCAGCATGTGACAGGACATTTTGTCAGCTCTCTATAACTCAGTTTGTTGTCAGGTGTGTATGTT